TTGGCAGCAGAAGATTCAAAAGATCGAATTGAAGAGAACCGGAATGTAAACAGAGAGTAAATGCAATATTAACGGAATTGAAATAGTCATGAAGCATGAAAAGAACTACTAAAGGAAGATGAGCAAACAATTTATTTCATGTACAGTTTCCATAGTTTACGAAGGCACTCTGTAACTGCATCAAACGACAAATTGGTGTCCCCTCCCCAAGTTTTTCGTTCACTAAAATTAATCATTTCAAATTTTATTATTTTAACTTGCTTATTCCAGGACAATTCAAAATAAACATTATAACTCGATAAAGTAAACATTTGACTGCATTAAGCCTCCTTTTTTTCTTTATTATTATGTTTCATGGCCACTTATTACAGATATTGAATACACTAAAGTATTACTGAAGTGCTAGCTTTTTCAATAATAGAATACATTAGTTTACATTTATTCACTATCAGGGTTTTTATTTCTGAACAACGTTCTGTTTCACCGTAATTAGTTTTTTTAAGATGACTGACTAAAAATGTTTGAGTTAAGTGACCTATCGTTTGTGAGCATATTAATGACAATAATAATAATGATAATAATAGTAATAATAAATCTTATAATAATACTTATTTGACTATATGCATTTGCATGATTCAGTGAAGTTGTTCTTTACAATGTTCATGTTTACCTCAAGTAAGAAGGGTCGAGAAAAAATTAATTACAGTGTTTTGATAGTACTAAGCAAACTTACTTATCAAGTGAATCGTTAAGGCTGAATCCTATAAAATTCGGTATACAAATCCATTCTTGTTGAAGAAATCAAATTGACAACATTTAAAGTTCGAATCCCCTAGCTGGGTATCTAGTTCAACATATTACTTGTAAACAAATAGGCTATTTACATCTCTAAATCATATAAATTTCAATCAAGTCTGACTGCTACACAATCAGTCCCAAGCATAAAGCACTCTTTGTTGCACTCTGTATGCCAGAAAAGCGATATTTACTCAAAATATACACATTATATGTTCTTTTTTACGGTTTTTGCTGGAGACTACATAAAAAGTTTGTTACAATATTATAATCTAACATTTTCATTTCTGGATCTTATTATGAACCAATTGCTGACCTTTTTGAAAAGATAATGTTCCTAAACTGTATTTCAATAAGAAATTTCATATTCAAACGTCTGACTACTGAAATACTACATATCTAGTTTGCTCTGAAAGACTGACAGGATTGATGAAATGCTCTATTCTAAATTTAGGAACGCCACTTAAATTCTCCTGAATTCACTTGAATTCTTTTAGAACACTGAATTTGCATCGTTACTTTCTTGCCAAGTAAGTTTAAACTCTTCGTAACCTTATAAAACAAGATGATGTGAATTATTCAGGTAAATCTTCGTCTTATGACACTAACATAATGTGATGTAGATAGTTAAAACAGTTATTTTTCGAATTGTTTTGTTTACCCTTATGTTTAATTGAAAAAGTAGTGACAATTAAATATTCATGAACAACTGTTCTAATGCATTTGTATCTTTTACAAAAAATATACTTATTTAACCCTATAAAATTGTTAGAGACTGTCATTGTTTAACCAGTAGCAGGAAATCCTTTAATTAACAATTTCAGTTGAAACTTGTATCTGTCTCAATTCATCTCCAAGGTCATAGTCGTACCTCTGTTATCACTCCATAGTGAACAGCTAAAGAAGCATTTATCTACCAAGCTGCGATGAATAATCACTGAGTAGCAACCAATGTCGCATTTATTGAGACCAAAGTATTAGTCGGATTCTATTAACTAAAGTTTATTAATGAATGTCATATATACTGTTCGTAAATCAAGTCTAATGAAGTAATCGTTGAAACACAAAACATAAAAAGCAAAGTTCTATGAAATATAAAAACTCATTCTGCATAAAGTGCTGCACAAACCATTCAAGTGGCAGTTATGATACTTTCTAAGCTAGCAGTCTGTAGTTACGACTTCAGTCAATTTATAATAAACTACAAGTATAATTCACCATCATCCATGATAACTGTCTCATTCATGAACTAGCTGAACTATAGAATGAACAGTTTTTAATGGTTATCAATCATGAGTGATATGGTTTCTGTTAATAGGTTCAATTTAAAAAGTTTTTATCAATAAATTGTAATATCTTAACAACAACAGAAAATTATATAATGACTATAATTCTTCTTATTGTTTAAAAGATGTGACTATACTGAACATTTTAATTTTTGGTTTTCTACTAATGAAAGTACAAACCTAAATAAAAAGATAAGCAAATACTATGTGAATTCATTGAACGATAGTCATTTTTGTTATCATGTAAATAAAATAAACTACCATGCCAAAAATAACTATATATGTATATATATATATATATATACCTTGAATCTAGTCACTAAATGAATCAGTAAGACATATTTACCTAAGCAAGTTACTTTATATTTACTGGTTCAAATCACAAGCTTTAATGAAAGAACAAAACTATTTTCATCTTTATCAAAATTATTTTAATTTTAATCTTGTCAGTAAATTTTTATCAACAGAAAGAAGAATAATTCTCTTTTAACAAATTCTTATTTCGAGGTCATGGGATGATCGAAGTAACAAAAGACATTCCAAATCACTGGATTCATTATTTCACATTATATTCTATTCTATGTGAAAATGTTGCTTGATAGATAAAACTTTAAGAAAAATAATAATAAAATAATATTAGACATGACAAACATATTTTAATATAAATTTTCTTTAAACCTTAATAATATGATATGATGAATAAAATTAGCTGAAAATTAACTATAAAAATGATTGGAGCATATGTTATCTACCTTGAATCTAAGCAAAGGTGTATATTGGCTAGCAGTGGAATCCAAGATGCGCGTTTCATTTTATTTGGGACTCGCCTTACGATCTTTTTTTTAACTTAAAATAAACTATATTCAATAAAGAAGTTCATGCACGATCAATATCAAGAGTTTAAAATATCTGAAAGTTGTTCGATTTCGATAACTGCAACAAGTATAATTAGTAATATGGAGTTGCGGAGATGGTCAAGTTTTTGATTGCAGTCATAAATCTACGTCAGAAAATGCGAGATGGTCACGCAATTTCGTGGATTGCTTTTGTCTTCGAACTGGGTGCGCACTGCTGAAGAGTTTCATCCTAGGACGAAACAGGTGTTCAGTGGTTTCAAGTTTTCAATGGTGGTCAATCAGTTCATGATCTCAATCAAAAAGTATAATTAGCTAATTGTATGTCATTCAAACTCAAGATATGAGTAAACAAATGATGGGTGAAATCAATAATCTAAATATTTTATAATACATATATAGATAACATTTAAATATATCCTAACGTGCATGATAAAACTAAACGAAGTAAACAACAACATTCGACAGGTATTCATATTAACATATGTTCTTCCTAAAAAGCTCAGAATCTAACAACAATCCAGAAGTTTGATTATCTCCTTTTTGAACTTCATTTAAAGAGCTTTAATAGAGTTTTTGACGTTAAGTAATATGAAAGACAATGAATCCCTGGTCAAATTTATTCTTCTGCAAGTTATTTTATTGATTATAGCTCACAATATATGACGTCCAATAAATCTACTTTGAAAATGGATGCGGTAGAATGAATGAGCAATAAAATATTTGCAAATATAAGCAATCAATAATCATAATGTAATGTTGGCTAATACATTTTTGCATCGATGTGTCGTAAAGAAACTTCTTGATTTAAAGATCATTTTCGTGATAAATCAACATTAATTAAAGAATCATTGAATACCGAAGATCACAGCTATTACGATTGCGTTTGACGCTTTTTTGTGCTGAGACACTAACTCATTGCTAGCATGGTCAAAAGGTTAGGGTATATCATACACTAACTAAAATTTAAAATGTAGACGATTGGATTCTGACTCCGTGGTTTGAAAGTTTTATTATCATTACGATATTTCATAATCACCAGTCATGTTCTTTGTGGTGTCTGGGACACTTGATGAATGAAAACCTGAAACAAAATTGAAATAATTGATCAGTTTCCCATGACGTTGAATAATTTTTAAGCTGATATCAGTTTCTGAAGAAATTATCTATTCGAAAGTATAGTTTGTTGGTTTGCTTTCAAGTTATTTACAGCCATCTATGAGCAAGAATTTTAAGGCTCCGACTATAATAATTTTTACAAGTAGTGTTTGGTGACTAAACCTGGATTTCATTTGAGTTGAGAAAAGGTAGAATGCATAGTGAACAGGTGATTATTCTACAATTTCGTTGCTTTCAATTATTTACCATCAATATACATAGAGGGATGTTTATTTTTATATAAATCATTAATTATTTTACAGTCGTCTGTCTGCATTATGATGAAAATATAATTTGCTAACTAAAATACACAAATAATAAATTTCATAACTTTATTTATAAGAATATTTAAAAAAATACTTTAGCTAGTATTAGTTCTCTTTTAAGCCTCTCAGAGAATAGTATGA